AGGTCGGAATTTTTGCAGGTGAAGTCTTGGGGTTGGGATCTACTTCCCCTAGACATCCGATATCAGGGATGAAGATACTCAACTACAAACGGTATAGGTATGAAAGTTTAAGGTAGGATATATAGGGTTAGGGTTTAGGGTTTGGCGAGCAACGTTCAGAGGTTTATGTCGTGTCCTGCATAGTATGATCCCGACGTGTCTTCAACAAGCAGCCTGACGGGATTCCCACGGTGTATATAGTTCTGCTTGCCGGGGAAGCGAAGGGGTAGTATAGGGGCCTGAGAATGACCGATACTACTCTGGGGTTCCTTATTATGATTCTGTTTTATATAGCCCCCAAAACCGCATTCTAATCATTCAGGGCCCTATAGTAGTTAGATCATCAGGGGCTACGGAAGTTGCTACGATGACGATTGATTGTGTCCTGCTACCCCAAGTGTGACAAGCAACTAGGCGACAAGTCCTCAAACTCCGAGCCCTGAGCCGTTAAACCCAAAGACCTACACCAACCCAAACCAGGAAACATCCTGAAACCACGAGCCCTAAACCCTGAGCCCCAAAAGTACCCTTGCAGTCACCCTCACGGTCCCCTCCGGGAGCCCTCACCGCGAAGCCCGCAAGGCTTTTGTTTTGCGCTTCATGGCAGACTACCGTGCTCGAGCCTCTGAAAATCTTGGGTATGACTTCAAATCCGCTGGTTTAGGGTTTAGGGCTTTAGGTTTCAGAGTTTAGGGGTTTCCGCACGGACTACGATGAGGGATCTTTTAGGTTATACTATGAGGGGTTTAGGCTTCGGAGTTCAGGGGTTCGGGGCTTCAGAGTTAATAGGTATGCTAAGGCATCGGGACTCCCAGCTCCAGTTCTCCTTGTCGAATCTTCCAAGCGTTTTTACGTGACTGCATAGTGGGTTTCCATAAGTGTGGGGCTGATGGTTTGCTTTGGACTTTAGGGTGTAGGGTTTGTGGGTATTGTTGGGGAGAGCCTCGTATATAACAGGCCGAATGCCGCGCTGGCTGCCAGCTTACCGTGAGCCCTGGCCTAAATAAACCATCCAACACCCAAACCTGTCAAACTATCCAGGTCTTAATAGCTAGTAACAGCACACGCAGGCTGTCCCTGTGCAATGAGTTTTCGATATGCCCCGAACGACCCCATTTCTATTTGTCCAAGGCCCCTGCATTAAAAGCGTATATAACTCTGGACTATCCTCTGTGCGGTTATGTTGACTACAGAGCCCCAACACGAAACACTATGAACCTCTATAGAACCCACTACAGCAATCTCACACACAAGCCTTAGTTTACTTGTTGCAAGGCCACCCGAAGGAACCTCAAAACCGAACTACGCCGAGGCTTCCCTGGGAGTAGGGGCCTGAGATCATGGGTTCAGAAATCAGGCACCTCACTTAGGGTTTAGAGTTCAGGGTATAGCGCTTTGCCCTTGGAGTTTAGAGGTTAGGGTTTAGGATTTAGCGCCTAATCCAGGGTATAATGCAGGATGTTGACTTTAGGGTTTGGGGGGTTAGGGCTTAGGGTTTGGAGTCTGGGGCCTAGGGTTGAGGGTTTGCTGCCGAAGATCCTAGTCTCTAGGTTTCTACATTGGGAGTCCATACTTTGCTAAGCGCCTGTATCTCTAAGCAACACGGACGCTTTTTTTCGGGCCCATGTATTCAGCACCCTCCTTCGCAGAGTGAGTGTGTATCTGTGTTTCGACTTTATGAAATTGCCATGAAGTCCGCATGCATGCACGTGTGTATGTAAGTGCATGTACTGTATATCTGTGTGTAGTGAGGGAAGAATAGCGTAAGATGCAGAATCTGTCTCTACTTCAGAACCAGTTTCGGTACTTCAACTTCGCCTGAGGCCAAGTAGGCCAGTTGCTATTGCAAGCAGCTGGCGACGCGGTGCCTGCAAGTGATAATGCCAAATACGGGCCCGGAGGAAGCAAGGGAGAAGAGATGTCCAGCCTGTAGCGTTTGAGTCCATTCCTCCTTGCTTGTAAACCAGACTCAGTAGGGTTCACGACATGAAGCGACAGGGCCAACAGAAAGGACCAAGACAGCCTACTGCAGGGCTCTGAATAATCGGTGATTCTACTCCCTTGTAGTACCCATACAGTTGTTAGTTTACCAAACACCACAACCCTGTTTTGGCTCGTGTTTTAAACTCTAAAGAGCCCCCTGACTGTCTGCAAGGTTCAAGGAGGATTGTCTTCGAAAGATGCACACATGTATCGCAGATCATTCGTTGCCTGGGGATTTATCAGCGACCTGCTTCAGTACGAGCCAGCCCAATTGCAAAAGGAATAACACTTTAAGGGTGGGCCTAGACGGTCTTGATCGTAGAAGTGCTATGAATGTAGCCCCCTGATTCATGAGCCCCTTCCTTGCATCAGCCTTGCAATGTGGATTTTTGTACAAGTTGCAACAACAGGCATCCTAAGGCACGGAATAATAAGGATTATGTAGGAATCCCAATGTCAACGCCGTATCCGAAACGGCCCCTCTGAAACAAGAACTTCCAAAAACCCTAAGCCCCTAAAGCCCCTACAAAGCCCCGGAGGCCGGTATTATAAAATCCCCCCATGAACCCGAAACAGCTAGCAAACCACATGGGTAGTTGTCAAAACTAGGGTCCCTTTTTGGGTACCCTAAGTAGTAAGTGCCGTACTAAATTGGGTCACCAAAAAGAGGGACCATAATTTTGACAACCACTCACAGCACCGAGTTGGTTGAGGGGAGTGTTTCGTCTTGGTCCTTTCGATCATCCCTGCGACTCGGCAGTGGGACCATGATGCCTGAGGAGCTCTACCTTCTACTATAGGGGCCTTCATAATCAGAATAATTAGGGTGTTGGGGGTTCCTTTAGACTTGTGGTATCATACACCCCCGAACCCTATTCTAAGTATTGAGGCCGGCTTTTGTAGCGTCCTTAGAGAGTCTTCAGTGCGCTTTGTATTGAGACGCTACCAGCAGGTGCCAGTAGATTAGGTAGGCTTTGGGTTCAGGGCTTAGGGTCTGCACGCGTGCAAAGTAGTGTTTGTGCTCGGTTGTGGCAGGGGGGAGGGCTATCTATCGTGTATGTTTTGTTGATGTGGGCCCTTCATATAACTCCGATAGTTTTGTAGACCCTAACGGCCCTACTCAAAGTCGATGTAGATCCCTGTAGCCCCACTGTTCTCATCAAAGCTAGGCTGACACATTCAACTCTCAACTCCCATCCACATGTCCAGCCAGCATCATGCAGCCAGACGCCATGCTTACAATTCCGATGACACTTGTTCCGCCTGACTTTAACCCTGTTGACCCAAGCAGGGCAGCGGGTCCTCCCAGAGCGTTCCCTCGGACCACTGCTGGTGGAAGGACATGGGGAAGAGATCTCCACGGCGAGTGGCGTAGGTACGGGAAAACAGGAAGCACTGCTCGTCTCTTGGGGCTGCGAGGGCCGTAAGGATTTAGGGTTTAGGTGAGAAGCTGCCCCCACCCTGTAATAGTGACTATAAGGATTATATTAGGGCCCTATTGTATTCCTATTATGCCACTATTACAGGGTTGTGGCCCCTTCTAAGGTTTAGGGTTTAGGGGTACACCCAGAGGGATTCCAGCTCGAAGAGACCCTGCCTTCGCGCCATGCTCGGCAGAATCCTAATACAGGGGTCTAAACAGTTACCAATACTACTCTTAGGAGTCCTTACTATAACTATAGTATACTAGGCCCCCAAACCCTATTCTACTTATTAAGGCTCCCAAAATAGTCCATCGGGCTGCCTTGACGTCGGATTAATAGTTTCGACGGCGACGAGACGAATAAGACAAAGGTGGTCGAATGAGAGTCACGGCCACCACTAGAATTGGAATAATCATGGTAGTCATACAAGAGCTTTTTCTCAGTGAAAGCAAAGCATTCAGATGCATCAATGGAAATGTTTGCAATGATACTGTTGATGATATAAATCCCGCATTACCCATAATAAGGAATATGCCATAACTCCCATAGTTTAGGGTCCTTAAGGTAATGCAGGATTTATATCATCAACCGTAGTAGGAGGGAATATCCAGACTTTCAGATCTGATGGGGCAGGTGTTTTCCTCTTCTTAACATGGGAATCCCAAAATCCTTTCAGTCAGCATTCTATCATTTCGGGTCTAGACTGGGAGTTCCGAGAACCTGAGCCAAAAACTTGAAACATACACATGCACCCAGAATACCTTGGTTCGTGGTGAGGCTTCGTGTTGGAAGAGTACTACAGGGGCCTTAAAAATTAGAATGAGGTGTTCGGGTAAAATGGGGATGCAAGACCACCGTTCCCGTCATATTGAATGAACAATCGTGCAAGAGCCGGCGTTAATCCTTGAGCACGTCCTCCAGAGCATCTTGGGTGGAAACAGAACAAGTGGGGCACCTTGCTTTCGGGGTCCTTTGATATACATACCGGTACCGGCGAAGACTTACCGTTTAAAAGAACTGTACATATACATATATATATATATATATACATGTATTTATGTATCTTTTGACAGATAGAAACCATAGGAAGGAACTCGGTTACAGGTAGTTCCTACAAGCTCCCATCTTGTGGGACGCCTAAGACCCCTAAAGCTTCGAGCCATGACACTTCCATCCTGGGTCTTCGCAGCCAGCTCTCAGCAGCCACGAGAAACCTTCTCATGCAGATTTCAGGATTTGGCGTCCAGGTTTAGGGAGCTGATCGAAGTGGTTTCGGTCCTTGGAGTTTCAGGTTTTCGACAGTTGGGGGCTTTGGGTCACAACATCTGGGCACGAAAACTAAGGCAACACATCTTCAGCTCCTGCTCTACACAGGAGCATTTGAGCGAGACCCTCACCACTTCGAACCCAGGACATGACGCCATCATGCTTCGCAAAACTCTTCCGAGCACATCACTGAGATGACCGATGCCCTCAACCCTAGACCCACGAAGCCCGAATCCCCGCCTGGAACCAGCTGCGTAACATGCGCGAGACTCTCCTCCATGGCTAGTGATGTCCGATGAGGCCGTTCAGGCTGGACTGGACGTGAGTCCCTCTCGGGCCTAGGGGGCAATAGGCGGTCGGAAGAAGTCTACTCTTATCATCCCGTAGGGCTCCATATTATACTGGCACACTTAATACACCCCCCAAATCCTGTTCCAACTACAGTAATAAGGCGACCCTACAGCAGATTTTGGGGCTTTAGGATTTGCAAGGTCGTCAGTTTGGCTTTGAGAAGTTTCTGAATGTTTCGGTCGGCCAGAGTTTAAAGTATGCCGAAGCCTACTCTCAGCTAATGCAGGCGCAGATTGAGAAGTCCCACTCCCTTGAGACAGCTACTGCTGATAGTTATCATAGTGATAACATCCGCGAAAGGCCCTGAAAGAAAATGGTGTTGATTTATCAGAGGTCTAGATTACCCATGGCTGCCACCCAAGATGAACGTCCTGAACCCTCAACATTGAGCCGGCAAACCTACGCCATAAAACCCAACTTACAACTCGCCATCGGCTTTCAAGAAAGTTCCGGTGACAACCGCTCCAGGTCACAGTGAGGATCCGGCCGTTCCTCCCACGGGAGCGTGGATCCAAGCTTTCTTCGGAGCCTGTTTCGAGGGCTTCGCGATTTCGGATCTTAGGGCTTAAGGTGTAGGAGCGTGGTAGCTTGTTCTTCTTGAAGAAAGCACCGACTGAGAGACTTGGCTGCAACATTAGAGGATGTTTAGAGCAATTGGGGGTTCGGGGTTCTTCGGTTTTTTCGGTTTTTGGCTCTGCAACTTGGCAAGCAGGGTTTCGCTTCGCCGGGAGCTGGCAGTTGAGAACATCGGCTGGCCTGAGAAGATGTGGGAGTTTCCGAAAATAAGGGACCCCAATATAGTACCCTAAATAATAGGATCCTTACTATAAGGACCCCAAAATACGGTACCCCTAATTTTCGGAAACTCCCATGTAAAGCACGCAGAGCAGAACCGGAGCCGATTTCACCAAAGCTTTAAGATCCTCGAAAGGCGACAATGGACAACTCAGAAATGCCTTAGAAGGGGCCCCCACCCTGTAATAGTGACTATAAGGATTATATTAGGGCCCTATTATATTCCTAGAAATACCACTATTACAGGGTGGGGGCCCCTTCTAAGAAATGCCCATCCACCACAGGTGGTACGCTCTCCCGTCTATCTTTCCCATGCAATCTCAAGATTTGTCGGGTACGCCCTCACCTTGTTCAGTTGTTAAAGGGAACTCCAGAAAGTTGGAATATGGAATAATGGCAGGATCCCCTATAATTTACCTTGAAGGGATTATGACAATGATATTCCAACTTTCTGGAGTTCCCTTTAAGTCCACTTCGACAGACCTTCGTCTGCCAAGGAGGGGGCAACGGCAGATCGTCAATGCCCGCAGCTCATGTTGAAGTTCGAAGCCGCGTTAAGTTCAAGAGGGGCTTTATGCCTACATTGTATGCCTACTTGAAACTTCACTTCATCTCGTTATATATGTGGTGGTATATCAGATTTCATCATATTATCATACGGTAAGAGCGCCTGGTACGTGACCGGCGTTTCGTGGCGTAGCTGAAACAGGCAATGTGCTGAAACCTAGGGAAAACGTGCATCATGACTAAAAAGTTGTGCTAGGAGAGGCGGAGAATCCCTGTGACAGGTCGATCGTTTTAGCGAAAAGGGTGTTGCCGCTGCAGTAAAAGCCACTTGTGCGAGGACCGCGCTGCGCAAACTTGGTCTGAGTGGACGTTAACATGGTTGACCCATGGATGCTCTGCGTCAATAACATGGACCGCCCATGGATGGTTTGGGCGACGTGGGTTGTAGCAAGTGCCGAACACACCGTAATTACCGGTGTGTTCGGCATATGACCCTAAGGAAACATGGCTTCGATCAGAACTAGAGCTTGGGCCTGCCTGCGACAGAAGTCCGCAGTCTGGGAGTTAAGGGTCGGGACTGGCCGGAATTAGAAACCCCCCTCCACCCCCCCCACCCAAGAAAAGTGAGAGGACGTACAGGACGCACACCAGGCGCTCTCACCTAGAATACGTCATTGCAATTCACATTATGTTGTACTATGTTGTGTTATATGCCGGTGTGTTGTACTATGTTATAAGGTAGCATATAATGTCATGTGTTATTATACTCCATCTTTTCACAATACGTTATATGTTTTTAGACTTTGTTAGGTAAAAGAAGCCCCCCAGCTGGCAACCGAATCCAAAGCACCGGAAACCTGGGGCCCCGCACGAAGAATCCGAAGCCCCATTCCGCCCACACGAAGGACCTCGGAAACTTCGGGCTCCAGTTCAGGTTTTCAGGTGTCAAGGTTTCGGGTTTCGGGCTCGAATTTGGAGTTTAGGGTTTTGGGTTTTAGGGTTCAGGGCCCAGTGTAAGGTTAGGGTGCAAGGTGTTGGTTTGTTGGGGAATCCTTCAATTCTTATGGTACTAGTAAGGACCGAGCTATTGGGGTTTGTATGTGAGTGTCCCCCATGCTCTGAAACGCCCGCATCCTTTTGCAACATACTTACTGCAGGTCACGTGCTCCCCAAATCCCTCACCCCCAAACCGAAAAGACCTTCAATCTTGAATCGGAAACCCGTCCCCAGAACTCTGAAACCCATGGAGTTCTTCAAAGGACCCCTTAAAGAAACCGGAAACTCCTCCACCCCCCGAAGCTCGACGCGAAGAGCACTGAAGCTGCTTGCAAGGTACAAAGCTCCAATGTTCTAAAGCTCAAGGTGCGGGCCCCGGAGTAGCAACGCTAACGCGCCGCAGAATGATCTAGAGGCCTTATAGAGGGTTCCACAAGGGTTTAGCATAGAGGCTTTTACATTTAGAATGAGGTGTGAAGATATGGTGTAGTATACCTGGATAGGGGAAGCCTGAGGAGTAGTGTTGCTAGATAATCAGCCTCCTAGAAGGCCAGAGGCACCAGAGAATGCCCCACGGGTTTCTCGACGGGTTTTTGTCAACGGTTGCTATGAGGGTTACTATACCAGTCAGTGTAATTATAATGGTAGCGCTTCTTTTAGGGTTTAGGGCGTTGGGAAAGAACTCAAGTTTGAACCCCAAGATATCCCAACCTCAACCCCCTCGAACCCCAGACGCTATGACACCCTAAACTACCCAGATATCCTAAAGCACCGAAACCCTTAAACCCCGCCAAGCAGCTCTGAGACATCCCAAGTGTAGAGGACGTTCAGGAGACCTTGGTTCCCTACAGCCCTACAGCCCCGCCGGCTCCTGGCCAAACCTCATGGGTTTCGGTTGTCATATTATCTATCTGGATACTGCATGTGTGGATGTAGGCATGTATGAATGCATGTATGTGCGTCTGCATGTACGAACGTATGTCTGCATGCATGCAGGTGTGATGCGCGCGCGTGTGCAAAAAAAGGTTGGCTTTAGTGTTTTTAGGCAGTCATATTTCGCACTTCCATATAGCCAAACAAATATGGAAAAAGCTCTCTACACCAAAAACTGTATAGCACGTCAGAGCTAGCACATGTTGCGAGATCCAAACATACATACATAACATACATGGAATCTTTGAAAAGTTGCAGGTTGCACAGCAAATGTTACGAGATTAGTCCCTACACCCTCTCCCCAAAGCCCTTGAAACAGGTGCTCACCACTCAGCTCACTGGGCCCCCACAGGAGGAGGACAAAGCTCGACCCTTAGACTTTCAGGAGGCTCGACAAGGGTTAGTATACGAGGCTAAGGGGCCTTAATTAGTGGCAGCGGGTTCCTTTTAAAGCGTTCTATAAGGGTTACTATGTTGTTAGCATTTGGGGTTTCAGGTTCTGGATTCGGGGTGTATGATGTTGGGTTCAGGGCTTCGGCTTTTGCATTTCAACAGGAGCGTGTGGGGTTCCTGTGGGAGCCGCACAGCTGCGTGGATTGGAGTTTAGATCTTGGGGTGTGTGGGCTTGGTGGTGATTAATTCCGATTTAACTTGGGGTTAAGGATTTAACGTTTACGCTTTCGGGAGCATGTCGATGAGAGCATGTGTGCAACCTCCAACCTCTTCCATGATCTTCCTTGCTCACCTAACTTCAGCAAATTTTGGCACCTTCTGCCGGGTATCTGGCCAGGTAGACTGTCGAATGTTCGGGCACATGCAGTTCTACCACAACTATGCAGTTAGGTTTGTCCCGGCAGGGGAACTCAAAAAGACAGATTTGGAATCACGCCTCGAGTGATCCTTTTCCAGGTTTTCTCCTTCGACCATTGCTTGTCTTCGGTCAAGCCGAACGACGCAAGGAGGCAGCGAGCCTTACAAGCTTTATATGTTTTACTCGTGTTGCCGGGCACACTCTGACTGACATGTTGTTGCAAGCCTCCGACATCGCGGACTTGTAAACAAAAGCTTAACAAACCGAAGGAAATGTCCAACACTTGATCAGAAACCAACCTGTAGCAGAAGAAATATCAAGAAGCTTCACACAATATTGCTGGTGCTACAGCTCATGTGACCAAGAATCCTCTGTTTTCAACCGGCTACTATCTTGCGAAACCCGCCATTGTGAAGTTTTGTGAAGTCAAGCATCGCCATGTGTCAGCTGGACAATTTTGGGTTCAGGGTTTTGCTACAAAGTAGGATGCGATTTCCTTCTGCCGATTCAGTGATCGGAGTTGGATTCCAGAGCCGTTTTCCCTGATGCTTCGGGAGTGCCCCTGGAGTTTTGGGTACCTCGCACACCAGATGAAACTACATCGCCTTGAGCCCTTAAAGCCGGCTCTATCAAGCCCAAACCAGATCCAAAAACACTTTGAAAACCGCCGTCAATTTGTAAAGATTCCGTGAAACCTGCAAAAGCCGGAGAAAGTCCTCCCAAAACCCTATTCTACTCAGTATAGTAACCCTTATAGAACCCTTCAAACAGCAGGAACCGTGCAGTACATCCCCTATTCTCTGCATTAAGGGGCCCCCTTTTTGTCGACTCTTCGCCCGGGTGCAGGGATGAGCCACACGCACCTCCGGTTACGCAGGAGCAGGTCTACGAGGCCTCTCGTGTAGGTAGTGCTTTAAAGGGAACTCCAGAAAGTTGGAATATGGTTTCGGGGTAGGAGACCCTATAATTTACCATAAAGGGTTTAGGATAATCATATTCCAACTTTCTGGCTTTTACTTTCGGGCATCTTATATTTTCTCTTATTGGGCTTTAGAGGGTCTTACCTACGGACATTTGTTCAAAGGCTTCGAAAGCCCCTCCTAGTCGTTGACTCACTCTTCCACCAAAGGCTCTATAAGGATTTCACATAAGGGTTCTGGAATAAGGGTTCTGGAAGGAAGGCTTCCACAGGGGTTCGTCTATGGAGTATAGGACAGACAAAGTTTGGAATCTGTAGGGGTCTACGAGGCTCTTTCTCTCGTCGGGCCCTGTTTTGTTTCGGAAAAGGTTCCTTTCGGGGTTTGTTTTTGTTTAAGGACATTTGTAAGGAAACTATATGGGGTTCCGTAAAGGTTCTTTCATTGGCTGTACAGGGGTGCACGTGCTAAAGTTGTGCAAGAAAAGCCTACACCCTAAACCCACTTTGCCCTAAACCCTAAACAGGTCATTGGCCAGAACTTGCTGGAAAATGCTCTCGAAGGCACTGCTCGGGGCCCGGGATGGCACTGCAGAGGGCAGGACCAAAACGTCTAAGCTAAGCAACCTACCAGAGCATACCGTGAATCATACTCTGTCCTTCTTGCACCGTGCCCTTGATGATCGGTTAAAGCTTGCTTCAACACGGGGTATAGTCTGAGTACAGGACAGCAATGCTTCATCTGGCAGGTTTTAACTCCTGCCTCTTTGCGTACGGCCAGACCGGGAGTGGGAAGACCTACACCGTTCTTGGGCCGGGGGCCTGGACCGGACCCTTAAGATGGGTCTTGAAGTATGTTATGCCAGAGGGCCATAATCAGTCATGTTGGGACTGGGGGGAACACCATGGTCTTCCTGGGGTCACCTGCGAAACGTTGAGATCATGCAAACTTCCATGGAAGCTGACACGCGTTTGTCTTCAAGCGCATGGTGCCCGAGTTACAAGCACCACATCTCACCATGCTCACCTGCATCGAATGTGTCTCACTGATTCTGGCTCATGCAGTTGCTTGTGTCGGAGCGCTTGGGCTTAAGATTCAAGCAGGCTTCGCAGCCAGGAGGTCACAAGGCGTGAACTATGCTTGAGAAGTAGGCTAGGCATGCCAATCACAACAGCAAAAGTTTGGACCTCGACGTCATTGCAGTGGTCGGAATCGTATTGGCACAAAGTTGCAGCTACTATAGGCGCCTTCATAATTACCTATACTTTCTTGGGGGTTCCTTCTTATAGAGAATAGTATAATGGGCCCCAAAACCCCATTGTGATTATTAAGGCCCTTATGGTAAGCACCGAAGCGCTTCGCCTTAAAGGCGGCCCTGTTCAGAGAGACCTCAGCCACCAAGGCACGAAAGAGATCCAGGTATCATCCCAAGGCTGCTGCGCCCTCAGCGCTTATGTGGCGGACGACTTGGGACCGAGTTTATTCCAGGGTAGGTGTTGAAGCTGACATTATTGACAAAATGTAGCCACCTCCCTAAATACAACGAGTCTTTGTTGTTCGCGCTCTCCTTTCGGGCAGTTTTCTGCTGGAGGTTTCGAGGTGTTGTGCAAACAGTAGAAGGTAAGTAGATGCCGCGGGGGTTCAGAAAATGCAGGGCCGGGAAAGGGGAGAACCGCGGGCTCATAATAAGGCACGGATCGTAGTGTTTGGAGCTAGGGTCCTTATTTCGTCGGGCTCCCGTTTATACGACAGCCTTGCTTCATGTACCAGATCCAACAAGGTGGCCTTTCCAAGCGCTTACATAAATGCAAGAGGACTGTGCTATTGCCAGAATCAGAAGCAAACGAACGTGGAACAAACCTGGTTTGCGGGTCGGCGACACCGCCCCTAAACGCCAAGCCCCAAATCCCCAAGATTTGCCCCCCAACCCTCCGAATTCCCGAGGTGCTTGAACCTCTTCTCCCAGGACCGTGACCACGGGGAGACATTTATTTGGAGGGGCAGGGGACTTAGTAAGTAGGTTAGAAGTAGGGTTATAATTGGGGTAACTCCATCTAGGGTGCTTATAACTCTACCTCTAACCTACTTACTAAGTCCCCTGCCCCTCCAAGCATGGGGTCTTGGCTCCGAAGGCTTTAGTGGGACCGGGCACAGGAATAAGTAGACCTCGCGGTTGCGAGACCCTGGAAGCATACGCTTTAAGAGGGCGTTGAGCAAAAATACTAAGAAGAACAGTAACAGTAATAATGCTAATACTAAGAATCAAAATAATGGTATTTATAATAATAAGAAGTAGCTGCGCAGAGGCTCTCTGGAAAACAATCCTGTCCAGGCTCTGGTCACCATTACGGTTTGAGCTAGGAGAATTTGAGTGGGGTTCAGGGTTTAGGGGTTTAGGAGTTTAGGGTGCAGGGTTTAGGGTTTAGGGGTTTAGTTGTTTAGGGTTTAGGGTGTTTGAAGGGCTTGGGTGGGGACGTTGGGCTTAAGGTACTGGGGTCCAGGGATTCAGGGTGAAGGGTAACAGCGGTGGCTTCCAGAGTTCGGGGTTTCAGGTCAAGGGTGGTGTGGCTTCACAGGGAGGGATTCTTCAGAGTTGTGGCATTGCGGCATTCACTGAGATTTAATATTATGTTCTGGGCGACTGAGTTGTAAATTGAATGAAGCACTTGTCTACCATGTGTTTGCAGATCACTAAACATATCGCTGCATGCAAGTACCCATGCTGACAGGAGTACGACGAGTTGCGCGTTTCGGCTTCTTTTCTGGAAATCTACAATGAGCAGCTGAAGGACTGATGCAAGGTACGTATCCCATCACTCAGCGACTGTGCCGGGTTGAGCGTGGCCCACGACCGTGGCGCTACGCTTCAGCGACTCGGTTGCTGTTGTTGTTCCCGTCACGTGTCCCATGCTGTTCTCGATAGTATAAAGCCCTAGATAATCACCATACAATTTTGGGGGTTCATTATCATAAATGTACTATAATGGGCCCCGAAACCCTGTTCTCATTATTAAGGCCCCTATATTACTTTCGATCTTCCTTCTCTGACAGCTACCGTTTCGACAACACCTGTGTGATCAGGACTTGCTCAACCCGCAGATGGAAGGTAGGAAGCCGCTGTATGTACACCAGCACCCGCAGTCCGATCCTTGGCGATCGCAAGAAGCTCTCAGTTGAATCTTATTGTTAAGGAAATTAAGGACCCTGAAGCGCCTAAACCCTGGAAGGGAGCCTTACAGAACGCTTAACAGGAACCCCTTCGGGGGTGAGAGGCATAAGAACTATGCTTTCGACCGAAGCTTGAGGTTGCCTGCGACTTATTGCGGTCTTTGACATGGGAGTTTCCGAAAATTAGGGGCTACCTTATTTTCGGGTCCTTAAAACACGGATCCTACTATTTGGGGTCCTATATTAGGGTCCCTTATTTTCGGAAACTCCCACATTGTAGCTCTTTCACTACGGAGCCCTGAACCCTGATCACATTGACACTAATAACTTGCAAAAATGCTTACATGTACATACACATATGTACATCTGTACGTATGTATATATGTATGCACTTGTAATTATACATACATACACACATACATACATACATACATACATACATACATACGTAAATACATATGTACATGTATGCATGCACATAGGTTTTCTGCATATAAACATATATCTGTATCTCTACATACATACATACATACATACGTACGTACATACATACATGTGTATATATATATACATATATAGAGAAACGTCGCATCTGCTTGTATATGGCCGTCCATGTATGTATATAAATCTGTCTGTATCTGTGCACGTGTGTATGCATGCATGTATCCCTGTATGAACTGCTGTACAGATGTGTGTATATACATGTGCTTATCTAGGTCATTAGGCTTGACGCACGGGGGCACACAAGAAATAGTGCCCTTTCGATAAATATGTTACCTCCATTCCAAATACAATGGAGATTAGAACTGTATGCACAGCTCCACAAACCCTGAACCTCAAGCCCTAAACCCACCTGAACCTCAGTCAAGATTTTTCAGAATGCCGAGACTTTGTTGTACCACCGCCGAACGAGAGGTTTCTAATCGCATGATCCCTGAGCCCTGAAGCTTAACACATCAATTGCTCGTGCTGCACTGAAGGGTCAGGATTCAGCTGTCTGCAAGTATGCTTCCCGGAACTTGTGCAAGAGGCGCACAGAGCAAACTGCAAATGAAGACAGAGTGCCATGAAGCCCAGATTGAGGCTGGGAGTGTATGTTCCACATCTGACGGAGTCTGCCTGACGCGTTTGTCCTGTCTTCCTGTGCTCCGTGACAGATTGACTTGAACGAGGGTGTTGCCTAGAATGATCTTCAAGGATATTCATGCATCATGTACTATAATAGGGTACTGTAATAAGGTTCCTTGTGGCTTTTGTATTTTTGATGTTGTTGCTGTTGGCCTCGAAGCGATGTCTATGTTGCGGTTGGGGCAAGTGCTGCCGACAACAAGCATGCCATCTTGCGCATGATGCATATGCACGCTGCCGCGACTCCATTTTGTCACACTGTTTGCATGTCACTGCAAGTCTCAGGCACAAGAAACTGCCATTTTGTCGTTGTTTTTGGATTTATACACATGGATGGCACCAATCCCATTGCTGATTCTTGTGGCTGTGGCAGTGCGTCCACTGAGCTCAGTGCGAACTCAGAGTGCAGAGCAAGACCCTACTGGCATGACCATTGTCGGTGCAAAGGTTGAGGCTGCGGAGCAGCAGTTCCAGCGCTTGATGCCTCGATGCCGTGAGCAGTTGGAGGGTCTGAAGAAAGACCTGCTGCTTGCTTGCCATCATGAGCGACGAAGGGACTGCAACCAAACAGCCGGCTGGGTCTTCGCCTGCTCTTCTGACCCAGGCGGATTTGTGACGAGCTTGGCCACATCCGAAAAGGAGGCCATGCTGTGGGCAGGAATGTGGGATGGAGCTGGATCAGAGGAAGGCCGCAGCACCAAACGGGCTCTTTTCGAGTTTGCGCGCTTAGTGGACACCAGCACCGTCCACCCCAGCACGAGGCTCGGAGCGATGATCGCAAATCATGGAGATCTCCAAGAGTGCAACGCAGACCGCGCGGCACATGAGCAAGTCAAAGATAGATTTCGCAAAGAACAGGCTGGCTTGGTTCCAAGCATTTGGAATTGTGCCAGCATGGCTTTTGTCAAGGGCATGTCCCGCAAGAATCGAACCAGAGCTGTGATCATCGTGAACAAAGACTTGGATCCCAAAGCTGAGCGTAGCTTCCAGAAGTCGGTTCTCTACAACCACGAGCTGCCCATGCTGGCCAAGGAGGTATATGATGCATCCCTTTGGAACTATTCCTGGTTCCCACAGGTGCTTGTGGTGGACCTGCGGGGCACCTGCGAACAGATGTTAAAAGCTATGAAGGAACGGATGATGACAGCTGTTTATCCTTGGCGGAAGAAACCGGTCCAAGCGTGGCTCAACAAGAAGCCTTTGCGGTGCATTCCTTGTGTCGGGGATTGCAAGTTGGACAGAAGCTTCGCAGAGAAGCTGGAGAAGGAGCTGCTCCGAAATGCTGGCTCGGCTCGGATCCCGAGCAACAGCTGACGTGAGTCCAGGCAAAAGAAGGTTGCACTGGCCCCTTTTGAGAGTCCCGCCAAAACCTCTCAAAACCCCAGACAGGCGATGGCGTTGCTGCAGTCCGAAGCTTTCAGGGTCCATGTCGCTGGATTGCTGAAAACGGCATGACCTGGACGCTGGCAGTCCTAAGCATTGATCGCATGCGAGCGATTTCGCGGCAGAAGAGTTGTCGGGATGTGGGATGCAGGGTTTAGATTTTGCATCAGCGTAGTCATGAAGTGACGGCTGCTTCAAGCAGCTCATCGTCAACATTCGATGCTAGGTGCTCTGCAAACTAAACAGTGTTGAGTTGCACCGAGATGGCGCATGCCCAAACGCTGTGATCTATGAGCCTCTAAATGCAGGTTCGACCATTGAAAATCACCAACAGGTCGATAAAGTACTCCGAGGAGTTTAGGCCGTAATTTGGGAGCATCAGGAGAAATGGAACCATACTATAGACCCACAATGCGAAGATCCGCATCATAAGAACCCCTGAAAATGTTGCCCCCTTCCTTTCAGAAAGCCCTAGTGACACACCGTATGAAATCTTGACAGAATCCTTATAGAGCTCTTGACAACGTACTGTGCTGCGCTACCCTATGTTATTGAAGGGTCAGTGTTACAGACTTGCAGGCGCAAAGCAGTGCACGACTGTTTTAGCTGCATCAGATCATATAGGCTTCGTAAGCCGTACCTCTCTGCGTGTACTAGCTTCCATTAGGCAACGATCTTTCAAGCATCTGTTCTGGCAGCCCTGACCATAGCCCTACTCCTGCAAACTGGCTATATAAAGTAACCGCGATCTGCTTTACCATTGCCATGCTCCCGGTATTGCAGCGGAGCCAGGGCGCCGGTGGGCAGCCACAGCGAGTGTCCGTGCCTCAGGAGCTAGGTTTCCGGTTTTAGGCGTTTCGAGTTTAGGGGCTTTCGAGTGGTCGTCGAGGTAGTCGACTTGAGAGCATTTGGGCATAGACGGGGTGGGGAGTGTCTTCTACTAGGCATCCGAGCAGGCCGTTGATGACCGCGATGTCAGCCTGGGAACCGCGCATTGCTTGGCGTTTGAGACGGAAGGTATGCCACCCTCTCAGGATGAACATGATGTTGAGGCCGACGATGAAGGTGATTGTGGCGACGGTGTTGGTGTTGTTGTTGGTGGTGATGATGCAGACGCTCATTACCACTCTGGCTGGACGGTGGTGGAACTGCTGCTGCTGCTGCTGCTGCTGCTGCTGGTGATGGTGATGCTAGCGGTGACGAAGAAAGCGGGAAGTAGCACGATGACTGCTAAGGCTAAGGCTTGCCTTGTCGATATTTCTGGGCCTTGGCCCCTCTGGTGAGTGCCCCGCTCCAGTTGGAGGTTCATAGGTAGTAGTTATAAGCGGGGTCATAAGTAGGGTAACTATACTTAGAACTCATAATAGGAGATATATATATATATATATACATACATACATACATATATTGACTACCCATGAACCTCCAAGCAAGGTATGGGGTTGCTGGACTTCGGCTCGAAGATACGAGCCACGTCTCAGACGAATATGAACAGCACGTGCAACCCGGCTCGTTTTTCGGCTCAGCTTAGTAGGGAATTGTGGAATGGATATTGGGGACTATTATTGGGGATTATATAGGGGCTACTCCTTAAACTCCCTGGTTCTTAGTAGGGAATGGGAGAATGGATCCCTGTAGTCGTCCCAATACAATCCCCAATAATAGTCTCCATAATCCATTCCCCCATTCCCTACCAAGAACCAGACAGTCGTTTTCCGGCTCAGCCTCGGAGAGGGGAGGTCCTGATGCCCCGGCAAGGCATCATCCCTCTTTCTACTATGGGGGCCTTAATAGTTGCCTGTACTTTTTTTGGGCTGTTCCTTGTTAGAACTATACTGCAGTATAGCCCAAAACCCTATTCTAATTATCAAGGCCCCTGTATTACGACATCCTATCCTGGTCACTACTGCCATCATCATGTTATTCCTGTTCCACGCAGTCATGGTCAAAATCATCATCACCCACAACGCCGTTCATGATGATGGTGTCGATGATGATCACGATGACGAGAGGCACTGGCAGTGGCAGCAGCAGCAGCGACAACAACAACGACAGCAGTATCACTGTACCTGAGGCTCTCCGGAGTTCAATCTGTGCTGAGACAGCTAGCCTGGAG